GAATGTATGGATTCGACGAGAACTGAAGGAATGCCTTGTTTTTAGTATTTCTTTCAATCTTCTAATTATTAATGTGTTGTTCTCTCGCCGGACAGACATTAGTGTCCATTATCTTCATCTCCGACCTTTTCGTGTCATACCATCTCTCCCTCTCTCCCTTTCCTCTCATTCATTACACATACGATGGATGTGTCTAAAGGATTGGGCTCACAGTCTGTGTCTTAAGCGGTTATCCAACCAGAATGTCGGCACTAATCTATACATGCGATCAGTTCTTTGCAAATATATATCTGTTTTGCAAGAAATATGTCCTTCTCTTGAGAGCACAAGTCATTCAGTCATACATTGATATACGGCTTATACATACGTACGGACAGTGCGATCGGAGAGACTGAGAGAGAGCTTTACAAACGCTTTACAATGCCTTTCAATGTCTTCGGAGAAATGTATTGAATGTATAGTTTTTGATAATAAAAAACATTTTTCACACCGTTTTGAGAGCACACATACTGTATATTCTGTTTATTATTATATCTTTTTGTACACATTTTTATACTAAAAGTTTGTCTTACAGTCAGTCTTATAGTCAATAATGAGGTTGTGGTGAATAGGGAGGGCTGTGTGAGTGTGGATGATGTAGAGGACTGGTGTGATGGCCACTGCTGTCGTGTGGGCTCATCATCATCGAGCCGTCCATTGCACCGGTCGGAGGTGTCATCCGTTTCTCCTTTTGCCGTCTATTGCAGAACCAGACCCTCACCACCTCCTTCTCGAGCTGCAGGTGCTCTGCCAGAGCCGTGATCTCTTGTGCCGAGGGTTTGGGTTGTTTGTGGAAATGGGTTTCGAGGGCCCCCTTCACGGACACCTCGATGGAGGTGCGCTTCTTGCGTTTGCGTCCCTGGGCTGCGATCTTGTCTATACTGGTGGGCGAGCCGGTGGTCGAGTCGGCCTCCTCTAACCATTTGGCGAGTAATGGCTTGAGTTTACACATGTTTTTGAAACTTAATTGTAACGCTTCGAAGCGACAGATCGTGGTCTGAGAGAACACATTGCCGTATAGAGTCCCTAACGCCAGGCCCACATCCGCCTGAGTGAAGCCTAATTTGATTCTTCTCTGTTTGAATTGTTTGGCGAACTGTTCCAAGTCGTCCGAACTCGGGGTCTCCTCCTCGCCCGCACTCTCCGAGTGCCTGTGATCGGGGTGTAGGCCCACAGAGCCCGACCTGATGTCGTCCAGTCGGCTGTCCAGTCGGGACAAGTCGTTGTGGACGCTGAGGTCGCCTCTCATGGCTGGGTGCAGGACTTGTGAGGGACCATTGCCCGGTCCCGAGTGGGCTAACATACCATTCATGCCGTAGCCGTGGTGTTGGAGGGGCGACGAGCCGTTGCTGTGGGGCGTCATTGCCGTCATATGGGCTGAGGAGGCGTGCAGTGACGACGGGTGCCACGGGTGCGACGACGCCATGTGTTGGGACTGGCGGTGGTGGGCGTGTATCGAGGCGTGGAGGTCGGCGCTCGACGGGCCGTTCGGTTTGATGTCCTGATGGTGGAGACTGTGGATGCCGGTGGGCGTCCAGGGGCTCATGTTGTCGGTGGCGTGCGAGGGAAGCCCGACGGCCCACTGGTGGTGGGCGCTGAGCGCGTGCCCGTTGGGGCTCTGGTTATGGTGGGGCATGTATTTGAGTTCAGGCGGTTCGCGCCCGTAGGACATGGACTGAGTTGCGACTTGCATTATGTGCTGGTCGTGGTGGGACAGGTGGTTGAGGTAGGGCGATGATGAGCCAGTGGCCATTCTGCACAGACAATCACTGCACCGAACCGATGCACAACTGGGTTAGTCATCAGCACATCAAACAAGACAAACAGTCAGTCCTCACAAACAATTTCTTTCAACACCACTATTACTTCAGTTTACTATCGGTTATCAGTCTTTCAGTCTCTCTCATTCACCAATTCATAGCGATTTTACGCACAAAATATCATATAAGTTATTATTTTTCAATTTATTAAGTTGAAGTTTTCAACACAAATTCTTATCAATCAGCGAAAAAAGAGTAAAAACTTTTTTATTTTACTTTTTTATTTATTAATTTTTAATCGATTGCACAGAATATTAAACTTATTTTTGTTTAACTCGTGTTTTTCACTCCGCTTTTCAAAGTTATGAATAATATTTAATAATTAATGCAATTTCGGAGATAATTTCAAGCATAGCATAACAGTTATGATGAAAAAACGTTACGAATGTATAATCAATTTGTAACTCTCTTTACTGTTAAGCTTAAGCCCTAAGAACTCATGTATTGAATTGAATGTTCAAATAGTATCGCAAATACAAAGTGCTGTTCAGTGGGAGAGAGTATTGGAGAGAGAGATAGAGAGCGGCGGCCGACACAACCATCCGCTGGAGAACTGACTAACGATATACTGAAGGGATCTCTGTCTGCGCTACTAAACCGACGACAACGAGGGTTCAGGCAGTTGTGGAAAGGGATCCACATTTAACAAGCCATAGCCTAAACCATTGGCTCGTCACTCATGAATACCGGTTCTCCGCCAGAATCGCGTGTATGTCTCAGAGCCCACCCCTAACGCGGCGCATATATTGCTAGCGTTATGGCAGGCGCTGAACGAGTCTGTGAGCCGACTGCCCACCAATCCCTTCATGAGAAGGTCGTCGTAGGGATCACAACGTGTATTGATATTGCATTACACAACTGCTCCCAGTGCTCACAAACGCTGAGAGGGGGGAGGGGGCCGGCAGGTCGCGCACCGCCCACTGACAGTGATCGATGCGCTCCGGGTTTCCACTCATGCCTTCGTCGATGCCTCGCAAACACAGCTCACATCGCAAGCCATGCCATCGGTTGGGCGGCGACTGGGAGTACCAGCGAAGGCAGCGCCGGTATTAGGCATCGACGCACTCACAGACTCATCATCAGCACCACTGGTATCCCCGAGAACTCTATGTATAGCACACTGTTATGCACACACACTCTCGTCAATGGTATTGCCATACCATACCATACCATACTATACCATACCATACCATACCATACCATACCATACCATACCATACCAGTGCATGGAGACAGCCCTCAGTAACAGGTGCGCTATCCTATCGTTTTGCAATTTACGGCCAAAAGAAAAAACTCATTGAACGACACAAACATTGACACAACGAATACAATTAAATATTATTCAATTCCTTTACAAAACAATTCTTTACATAAACGACAAGTTTTTTGCATCAAAACAAACATAAGTCCGAAAACATAGCACTGAATGATAGAGAAGTCATAGAAAATTCGTATTGAGATTATTGACAGGAATCCTGCGATCAGACTATTCTTATTGGTTTCAAAAGCAATATAATTAGAAAATATTTTTTCAATGAATTTCGTGAATATCTTATGACATGTTTAGTTTCGGGGGATAAGGACCTGGATGTAAAAATAGCCTAACAATACAATTCTAAAGGCTCAGGAATATATTCATGCAATTTGGTGAATGGGATGTAAGCTTTTGAATCGCATTATGCCATCTATTGGGGGCTAAGTTGAGGCACAAACTGATGCCTAGGATAGTGTTTAAGTTGGAAAAACTTTTTTATACCAAGATATTTGCTAAATTATTTGCTAAATACCAAAGTTTTCCTTTGAATTACGAGTTTTCATCACTTAATTTACTTATCGAAGTGTCAAATAAATAAAATACAAATTACGAGAAAAATAAACGCAAATATTTATTCTATGAATTAATTTCAGTTGTTTTTGTGTCTGATTTGTTTAAATACACATTAATTATTCAATAGTTTAGGCGCTCTTTTGAATAACATATTTAAGACAAACATATAATTATTTAAAACATATTGTGAATAAATAAATGCTATTATAATATATATGAATCAATCGCTGCTAAACATAATATGAAAATATATCTATATAAATAAATTAGACTTTTTTGTTATTTTTTCTAGTGTTAAAAGATGAGCAGAAAGTTATTGATTGTATAATAATTTTTATATGAATTTTTCATTACTTCTCTCTCTCTCTCTCTCTCTCTCTCGTATCTGTTTTTAAGCAATTTTTTAGTTTTACTCTCAAAAAGCAGAGATAAAACAAATCTCAAGAAATTGATTGTTTGATCGGAAATATTGAGAGCAAAACATCACCAAAAGAAAACACACTAAAAGTATTTTTACTCTTTTTCGGTGACTCTTATTGATAAGAATTTGATTCAACAAAAAATATAAGAAATATATCGAAAGGGAAAGAAAAATACGGCACAAAAATAAGTGCTAAAATCAAAATGATAATAACAAAGTATAAAATCCATTGAATCATACCTTTAAGTGTGAAAATATCAATAAAACTTTCGGTCGTCTTTCACTTATTAATATTTGATGATTTGGCAAATCGTATGAGAAATATATAGTAGTGTTTCTGACATAAAAAAGTTTTTTCCTATGATTTGGATCTTCACTTCAAAGCAAAAGAGAAATACTTGAGATGTGAAGAGCGGTGGAAATATACAAAAACTAAAGCCGACACTAAATGTGGACTAAATTATGTTTGAAAAACTTTTTAGGTTTTGAGTTTTTCGCTGAGAAAGTACTGCAGAATCGGAGCCAAGAATTGTGTGTAAGACTCGCAGTAGAGCACCGGTAGTCGTAGTGGTGGTGAAAGTGAGGCCCAATTCAAAATTGAAAATTATTAGTATTTATTATAATATTTTTTTTGCTTTGTAGGCATGACAACCTAAATGAGTGAGAGTACAGAAATTGTTATTGAAACAACATTTAATACATAAGACTTTTATATAGATTTAGATATAAATATGATTACATTATATATTGTAAGAAGTTTTTCTATTACTATATTTTTTCTTGAATTTAATACACAGTGTATTGGTATAGGAATAGTGGAGTAGAACTCAGCACTACTTTCTGTATAGTATTGGCAAATATATGTAAAAATCATATCACATTATATTTATTTTCGAAATTCATTTTACAGTATATCTAATATCGACACACTTTGTGAACTCATTATATGCTAACAAAATTCAATGCAAAAAATGAATTTTTGTTTTTCTTTTTTGATATGTAATCGTAATGATGATAGTATGATAAAGAGCTGATTCACCACAACATTAAACATTATATTAAATGCAATAAACAAGTTATGCATGAAAAATCAAAATATATTACTTTTATATACATAGATATGTCTATAGTTTGTGTTTTCACTGATATTAAACTCAATACAATTGAATGAATACTTACGGAATATACGGGACTTTCATATGATTTATAAATAATTAATATAAGAGAGAGAAAACCCAAAAGAATTTGTTGAAAGAACTTCACTCTGTATTCTGTGTTACATATCATATATACACACAATATATAGACATATATGTGAAGCACAGGTCTATTGGAGATGCGATTGAACACTAGTGCCAGAGAACAGGATCTCTCGCAGAATAGTCTATGTCTTGAGCACACACTCTACACACACCGGCATATAATGGCAATACTGTTAATTTGGTTTGGTTTGCAGTGCAATACTGCACACAACTGCTGATAGAATTATGACTATCACTGACTCCGAGCACCTATAATAACATTTTGCTTCAGGCTCACAGAGAGCTTTATCTCTCTTATATTAATTATTTATCAATCATATGAAAGTCCCGTATATTCGGTAAGTATTCATTCAATTGTATTGAGTTTAATATCAGTGAAAACATAAACTATAGACATATCTATGTATATAAAAGGATGGTTGTGTCGGCCGCCGCTCTCTATCTCTCTCTCCTCTCTCAACGTAGGCTTTGGCGGCAGTAAACGAATGCACAGAACATACAGAATACCACTAATACTCTATACGATAGATTTGATTCCTACTGAAAAAAAGACTCAAAAGTCAGTCAAAACGCGAAGTGAGTGCTCGTCCGCCCCTCCCCTCTCGCGATATGCAATTTTGGAAGCAATCACTTGTTCACCAAAAAAATATAATATCTAATGTCGGCGCCTAAAACATTACAACAGACCTGTCGGCAATAGGAGTGGCCATTCTCTGCAACATTTCATATCTAATTCTAACTCTTATTTTGATTTTTTACGAATTCTCGATATTCAATAGTCAGTAACACATAAACATAAACTACAAGTTTTCGAAAATATTAATTCAAGTCAATATATGATTGAAACCCGAAATATATCCCGAGTCTTCTCGAGTGCATAATAGGACTGAGTCTGGGTTTTGACAAATATGTGCCTCTGTTTTGACTAAATATGCAAACAATTCACTTCAAATAGCCGTCAAATATAACTAATCGATTACTCCTTTTGAGCCCCAAATAGAGTGAATGTCTTTCAGAAAAATATCTTTTTCCTCTTTATCTGACAATTCCTATGATTACTATTCTTCAGCACTAACTCTATTTCATTCAAAATAATTATCTTTTCATTAGTTTTAATGTGTATTCGGAAAAAATTTAGCTATAATTTTGAAACACATTTTTATACATCACTCGGAGCTAAGTATTGATGATTGAGTTTCGACTCTGGATTTAAACACAACTCTCGGAAATATACTCACCGGAGAGAGAGAGAGAGAGAGAGAGAGAGAGAGGGAGAGGGAGAGAGAGAGAGAGCCAAAAAAGAGTTGTACACAAAATTCCCAATCAAACCAATACTACATTTAGGGAACGGGTTTAATATTTGGAGAGTATATTAAAAAATTCTTTTGATAAAAATAAAGAGCAAATTATACTTTTAGACAA